AAAATGTCTTGTGATAACTTTATACTTTTCCAGAAGAGTTTTATTGCTTCATACAATATATCGTTTTTTCACTGATTTCCGTCTGTAAGAAGACATATAATTAGTGCATATATATATTATTAAATAATTCAAAGATGTATCTATCCTGAAATTGGCACTTGTTACTTTATCATATAAATAAACTTGTAGCTTTGTATAAAATTTCTGCATGAACTTCTTGTAGGTAATTGGAAGCTTAGAGAAATTTGCATGCAAAGATTTTGTTTAAATTAAGCAACGTTTTTTTTCCTGTAGGAGAATGTCAACTATGATCTATGTCTAAAAAGCTAACAATGCGATCTTGAAATGTGCTTTCTATTATCAAATCAGGTAAAGAAACTTAACCGATGTCAATTGTTGGATAAAGAAGAAATGTTTTCATCCATGATTGATGATTGAGTAAAATTTTTGACAGCATGCTTGATTACTGCTGGTGGTTTCATGATTGGTCAATTTATAAGTTTATATTTCTTATTGATGAGCAAATTTTCCAGTACATTATTGACATAACATGAATCATCAAATAATATCCCATGAAGAAGACCACATAACTATTGTGACGATTGAATTGAAATTCAAATACATAATATAGCGATAATAGAAGACCAAAAGCAGTTGATCATGAAATTGTTTCTGCAACAAGATGAAAATAGAGATAAAGTTCAAATTCAAATTTACTCGCGAAGATTTTGATATGACGATAAGGTAAGGTGTATCTGACATTAAAAATGTAAAAAAATTTTATCATAAAAAAACTAAAAAGAAAAGTTATAGCTGATAATTGAAAATATTACTGATTGAATCACCAAAAAGCTTGCACAGAATGCAAACAATTGACAATGAAATACTTTTCCAATAGGAAATGTATCATATATTATAACGTTCTTAGAAAAGATTATTTATTTTTTCCAAGGAAAAATATATCAAAGAAACTTGATTCAGTTATGTTACATATGAAAATATATTTTCTTGAACCAAGTATTCATTCGCAAGAAAATCCTAACGCTGGAGTTATTTTAGGTTTGAATCATGAAAATTATTCTATGAAAAATGGTGACTCCGGCACTTATAAATCTATAGATAAACATACTCATAAGATTTGGCATACATTCATTTTTTTGTTCTTAAGGGATTATCTAACAGAAAATAGTTGTTATTATGTAAATGATTCTTTAAACTTGAGTGATAATTCCTTCACATTTTCATCGATATTCACATCAGCATAATACTTCACTTCATTCAAGATCTTGAAAAAAAGAGAAAACATAGTATAGATAAATTTAAGATGCGGATCAGCTAGAAAAAGTGTCAGTCAAGTTTGAACTGTCAAAGTAACGCACCATCTGATAGTATTGTTGTACGAAAAATTCATGTATGAAAACCAATTTCTACAATACAGGTGTAACAATGGCTTTGAAAGTTAGCCTCGATGAATAGAAACAATGCTTACATGAACAATTTTTCAGGAATATTATGAGCAGCACCTACTTTCAATGAAAAATCATTACGATATTCCTTAAAAGTAGACTTCATTGAATTCAAGAGATTTACGTAAAAAATACTTAACCATTAAAAAAAGCCGTTTTCATACAAGCTTAAGATTAAATATTTTGCTTTGTCTAAATTTAATATCTAAATATTCTTTTAACAAAAGGAGACACTGCTAATAGTATTTGTGAACGAAGGACCTAGAAAGACTACTCAAGATATTCATACTAAACGTATGAAAAAAATATATCCATTGTCTATTAAGTGGAGTAAATTGTCAATGCATTAATTTGTTTCGCAAAAACCATTCTTAACAAGTTATTATTGAAAGTTCATAGCAATTCTGGGAGATAATAAGCAGTAGGAAATTGTCCTTCATGTATGTATTTTTCCTTTCATATTTTGAAGCGGGTGTGGTTGTCAGCATAAATATCATTAATGGCATCGGTTTGTTTTGCTTTGTGGAATGGAACCCAACAAACTCTCAAACCGAATCAATTCCGTCTCTGACAGATATAAATTTTAGCCACATCCACACGTCTAAGGTTTTCTGAAACCTATTAAATCAGATGAAAAATACACGTTCAAAAAAATTTACCCAATAATTCTATCACTACGTTTTGTTTCATTTTTATTTGTAATTTACAATAAAGGTGGGTAATTATTGCGAAATTTTTTCGTTATTTCATTAAGTAAAAGCTTAAAAATTTGTTTAATATCAAAAATATACTTTCTGCTTTTCAAATATCAAAAGGTGGCAGTACTGACTCCTAGTAGTGTTTCTAATGGGAAGTGTACCAAGCCGAAGCAAAAGATACTAGACATTTGTTACTTTCGGCATAGATGCTATTTCACATTTCGCAGAAAGCAGCATAATCTATGTATTAATACTCTTTACTGAATAAGATAATACTTTGATTTCACGATGATCATATCAATTTTTTAACAGTAAAATATTGAATTTAAATTATTTTATTGTTTTTAGAATATATTACTTTATAGTCTTATCCTCATGTTCGATTATAGTAGCGATACTAGACAGATTTCTTATTGTTATATTTGTATTAATCTGATATATCATTATTAACAGAAAGACGTTTTATTTTAGTTCTGTTCATTGCTGTTTCAGCTTGCAAGTATAATATTTCGTATTTCAATTAGCATTGTCATGGCTTATCCAATATACTTCATAAGTTTTGTTGTCTTTTCTTTTGTTATTCTACGTATTGGTTCAATTCTCGTCGCCTTAATTTAAAGAAGAAACCTTATGCATGTATAATATCTTAATTTCACCGGAAACTATTATTATTCAATAAGATTCAGTGAGTGGTAAAACGAATCTATCGACATTTGGTTGCTTGAGTCTCGTAGGATGATAGTGCAATTTATGATTGTATTGTTGGTTCGGAAAACAGATAATAAAAGAATAATGATTTGATAGTCTGAGAACATTTTTCTAAACATATTTCTTTCTGTTAATATTTGTATGATCAGTTTTAAATGTTGAATAGTATTTCACCAAGTCGAATACAATATTAATTTTTATGTTCATGACTCAAAAAAATTCGTAGATTAAAAGTTTGATTATGTAGAAAAAAAGTAATATGATACTCGTACATATTTCAGAGTAGTTTTCAGAAAATTTTTGTAGAATTAAGTCACAAAGAAAAATAGTTCGTCAACATCATGCTTTCTGTCTCGGCGATGATTTAATGTTTCTTTCATTTTCATTTTGTTTACTACAAGTAACAATGCATGTTTATCACTCTCATTTTGCATTTTTTACGTGCTATGATTTAACAATGAATACTTTTTTTTCGTTATGTGATCAAGCGAGAAAGACTGTCAACAAAACATACTCATACAAATGCATTTACCCTCTTGAATGTGAATGTAATCATAGTAGAAAAAGAGAATTGAAAATGTATTTGCCATTGCACTAATTTTCGTTGATAAATACAATGAATCGAATTTTGTTTCTTGTGATAGTGATTCTTGGAACGACTGCTAGTAATCCAGGTTAGATATTAACATCAAATCATAAGAAAGATTCAGTTCAAATAAAATTTCATCGCTATTATGGAACATTTTTTTTTTGGTGATTTTGACAAATTAAGGCATTCTATAGAAAAGAAGAGAAAATGTTTTCAAGACAGGACTAAAAGTCTAATGAGTTCTTTTTAATAATCGTTAGTGATCGACTTGACCGATTGCAAACTGACACATGCTGAAGCTGTTGCACAAATCATGCCGATAGGTGTACAAATGCCCTCATCCAGTGAATGCGGCGATGGCACTACAGTAACATGTGTTTCACTCGAACAAATCAATTGTGATTCCATTGGCTGTTTGAGACAATTGAAGACGAGCTCAACATGCAATATCATCATTACGGCTGGCACGGTGAGAGTTTTGTTTGTTTTTTCATTTATATTTAAGTTTTATTGAAATACAAAAAGGAAACGAATAACGAAAACGGCTACAAAATCAGTATTGCACTTGATAGTTGCATCGACACTTATATCAGTAGCACCTTCGAAAGCGTTGTAGATGCCAGCAGTGGAACTATACAATATAAAGCAACAAATGGGAATACTTTTACGAAGATGATTGATCATTGGGATATTCGATTTACAAACTATTGTTAGCTTTGAATTCTTTTACAAATCTGTTTTTTTTTCTTAAAGAATCAATAAAAGAAAAAGGATTAAAACGTGGAAGGTTGGTTCGTTCAATATTCGTTGCGTGAGAAATGAAATAATTTTGTTTAAGGAAATTTAATTCCAATGTTAATCTTAATTTTGATTCACGAGTTTTTCATCAATAAAGGCAAACGATCAATGTATGATCAATGAGAAGAGATTTCTCATACAAGAAGAGCTGGCACCATATTCAACATTTTCTTGCCCAAATTCTTTTCCTTCATTGTATTAGATCTCAAATCGGCTGTGTTAGTTGCAGAATTTTATTCTCTATGGAAAGATGCCAATTTGAATAGACCTTCGCCGGAAAAAAAACTAGGATTTTGGTTTTCAGTACTTGAATTTTGAACATGTTCGAACAATGTAACTGCAATGTCTCTTGTCCACATTCGTTTTACGACTTGTATTGGATCTCTAATTAGTTGCTTCAGATGCAGAATTTCGTTCTCTATTGAATAGTATCAATTTCAGTAGAGCTCGTCAGGCAAAAAATAGAGTTCTTAGTCGAAGTACTGGGTCTTCTGCCATGCCATGGCTGTAAACCTTGTCCAAATTTGCTTCAAAATTTATGCTGACATTCTCACTGTTTGCATTGCCTGAGGAATTATAGTGTCTATAGAATGGTATCAATTTCAATAGTTATTATCGGGCAAAAAATAGGATTTTGACTCAAAATACTCGATTCTCGACAAACCTATGACTGTAATCCTTGCTTACATTTGCTCCTAGACTTATGATAGTTATCTAATTAGCTGTTATGAATTTAGAAGTCAATTGTCTATCGAACGATGCTATTTCTGAGGAGAGTCATCAGGGAAAAGTATGAATTTGGGCTAAAAAAAAAAGAGTTTTGATCTCCTTTTTCAGGTTTATTGTACAATGCATGTGAAAGTATTTCGAAGATTTTGTTGATCTTCATTGATGCGTATGAAAGTTTTTGGATTTCGATCAACTATACTTCTAGTCAAAATTTTACATAGGGAAAAATATAAGACAATTTGCGTGAGTAAAATCAGTAAAAATGATTCTTCTCGATGAACTGTTTCATAAGATGATTGTTGACCAGTTGAATCAGAGGAGAAGACCTGATTATGCGGCTATTGTTTGAAGTAACATTGCCTTTCCTTTCCAATATTTCCTCTCTCTTCAATGTATATGACATTGGAGGACTAGCTTAATCATTGGTTAGTTCGAACAAATTTGTACCATTTTATGATCTCTAGAAAACAGTAAAGCTGAGATAGGTTGCACCCATACACTTGAATACTGTCTTGCTTGAACCAAATTAAAGCAAGTAACGTTGAAGAGAAATGTCAGATGCCAATATACAATGTCTAATGCCATACTAAGTGTTTCTTGATAGGTCATTGTACTTTTGCTCTGTATGCAAGTAATTGTACATGTTATTGATTTGATGGAGATTTCTTTCTACTCTAATTTCTATCTGCTGCTATTCCTTATCTTCTATACACTTCATCAACTATCCACGTAGTTCACACACCCTTTCCATATTGTTTCCCATCATCGCTGCATCTCTCTTTTCATCTGTCCCTTTCTCGTTTCGTTCCGCTCTCTATCTCTACTTTCCTCTGCCTCCTGTTGCTTTCCTTTCTCTGTCCCTTCCAAACTTATCTCTGTGCCCTTCGATCTTTCTTTCATTCTTCGTTGTTCCCTCTTACTCTATGTCTATCTTTATCTAGCTATCTATTACCTCCGCTTGTCCTTCATCAGTCTAATTCTTTTACCATTCTATTGGGATATGAACGGTCAAATGCAACAGAGGTAACATGTGAGGATTAGAATATTACTCAGAGGAATATTTTGGTGGCAGGCGTTTCCTAGCATAAATATATACGATTCATAGATAGCCTAATTTTCATGTAATGGTCTTCTCTTCAATTATGAATCATGTTATACAACAAAATCTTCACAAAAATATGAAATTCATCACACGAAAACTTATACAGAGTGGACCAAAAGTAACCTAACATGAACTTCCTTTTCACTTTTTTTCTTTCTAGGTCCATAGTTCGATCTCATATCTGGACCATATATACTAGATGAAAATACTCAGAGAAAGAGCCTTTTATCAGCCTTTGGCTAACAGAATTTGTCGGAAAACATATGAATATCTTTCGTACACTCTTCTATGACTGTCACATAAGTTTGTATTTTTCTTAGTGTTGTATTTCTATCTATTGGTCTGTTTGAATCAAAATGTACAGGATGCTTTGAATTCTATTGATCTTTACGTTGTTTCAGACTTATTGCGTAGAAAATGACTCAAAAACGAGATATAATGAAAAAAGACATTGACTTCTATTAGACAACACCGAACTTATGTGAAAGTCATATAAGAGTGTAGAATAGATGTTCATATGTTTTCCGACAAATCCTGTTAGCCAACGGCTGATAATAGGCTCTTTCTCTGAGTATTGTCATCTAGTATATGTGGTTCAAATATGAGATCAAACTATGGATCTATTAAAAACAAAAGTTGAAAAGAAGTTCATGTTAGGTTACTTTTGGCCCACCCTGTATATTAAAAGTCATGTGTATTTCCGTCAAGAAATAAAATATCAGCTAAACTTTAAACTCTCTAATCAAATTTATTAGACTTATTTCTGACCCTCTTACAGCTTCATCTGGCCCACATTCTTATGACTCCAAGATAGCTTTTTTGTGAAGCTTACTATAACATAGTTTTAAACTTGTTTCAAGAAACGCATAGAATTCATTATATTTGAAATCGATCAGTATGTAGCATCCATTTATTGTTCATTGCTTTATGACATAATTTATTCGCGTATTTTTGATCGATTAATCTTTCTCTATAGAGCCAACTGAACCGATATCTGAGAAACATCATTAAGGTATATTGATTATTCATGAATTCAATTATAATATTTTGCTCATCATTATTGTTAAGTTAGAGTTTATTTCAGTTTCATACATCAATTCGAGAATAAAATCAAAATATATATGCTACAAAAAAGTTACGATCTATTGGTGAAAATTTTCATTTTGTTAAGGGATTCTGCTGTCAACCACAATTTTGAGTTGTTGTCACTGCCTCAATAATAGACATAAGACCTTTTGTTCTATATAATTGTTTCAATTCATAACCGCTTTTTTTCAGTAAATCGATGTATTCAGTTAAATTCCTTTCTTTGGAACCAACACCTGATAGCATTTCAAGATCCATCACGTGTGCTTCCCAGTTGTCTTTACTATTTGACAATATTACCATTTCAACTATAAACACTGTAATGGTTTTTTCTATTTGAGTTTTACTGGCGTAACGTATCGATTTGAGTATTTCAATTGATTTTTCATCGTTCCAATCATGAATAATGTATTTCAATATATAGGCATCGGCTGATGATATTGTTTCAGATTTGAACATGTCTCCCGAAGCAAATTCATAACGAGTTGGTTCAATATTTTTTCGTTGAAATTCGTTTGGATTCATCATTTTAGCATTGTCGATTACATGCGCCAAATCGAATAAAATACCATATAAATTTTCATGTTTTTCCAGAATAGATGATAATAATGTTCCTAATCCTCCAGCAATATCAACTAATGTGTTAAAACGAGCAAAATCAATAACTGAAACTATCGACGATGTCATATAATTCGAATAGGCAACCATTGAATTATTGAATATATTTGCATATTCTTTATTCTCTTCTTTTTGCATATAATCAAATATACTGCAACCGAATGCTTGTTCGAAACTATTTCCATGTTTGTAACCAAATTTAATTAAAGATGGAAAATATGTTGATACCTTTTCCGTGTTCGGACCTAAGTCTAATCGAATCATATCACGTGCTTTTGAAAAATGATTGCTTGTCAATAGTAATCCATCTTCTGTCAATTGAAATTGAATAATTTCTTCTGGATGACTATACTTAATTGAATTATCGTCATCATTATTTAACTGTTTTACAATATCAGCATCAGCAATCACACGTAACAATCGATAGAGAAATTCCGCATTCCAATTATTTCCATTCAATTGAGATAATTGTGATGCTGTAATAGGAGCTTGGTAATCAGCCATTACATCAGCAATACCCAATTCACAAAATGCCCATACAGCTCGTTCGAGTGATCGATGAAAAATTAACGATAAGTATTTTGGTAGACCTTTGAGTTCCAATGGAGACTTAACAATAGCATTGTTGTACTCTGCCATTATGATTGAAATCAAATCTATAATTAGTGTATTTTTTATGAAAAAGACGGAGGTATGAGCCGATGAAAAATGTTTCAAGCAGCAAGTATAAAAAAATTATGCACCACGATTGACAGAAAAATGCAAAAATCATAAAAGTTAGTTGAAAGAGAAAAGAACTAATTAGTGAAGAGGCACATTCGTGTGCATTCATCTTCTAGTTGTCCAATAGGGAAAACAAGACAACATGAAATCTCAGTAATTAACACGAGTGAAACATAAACAAATCTTGAACATGTCTGTCGAATTTCATTTGCAACCATGATTCGCAAGGATCGCGATAAATTGAAATTCATTGGTCAATACTTTTAAACTCAGTCAGTTGCATGATTATTGCACCGTTTGACTGTTAGAAAGCAATCTCAGGTCACCAAATTTCCAAAGCTTGAGATGTAGGATGTAATCTTTTTTTACAATATAAAAATAGTAATAATCTCTCTGCCCTAAGATGAAGGAAAACAAGTTTTTTTCAAAGTACTTAACTAGAGAATATTACTGTCTAAAAAAAAGAAATCCTTGTCATTTATAAGAAAAGTCTACATCGTCTCTTTGAATGACATACCTTTCTGTCCTTGAAAGAGATTATGATTGAAAATTGGGTTACAATGTCGTCGATAAAATGAGGCTCAGTTTCTTTAGATATAGAAATTAAAAAGCAAATGATAAATGATATTTTATTCTGACTATGTGACGCCTTCGATGTCACCATCATATTGAGAAAGTCCGTTTTTTAAATACTCATTTTATTTTCATTCTTATCGTTGCATTCAACAAAAAGTAATGATCGGGAGAAAGCAATCGACTGTTTGCTAACAAATAAAAGTATCTTTAGAAAAAAATAATAATTTTCTGCAAAGCACTGCTCGCGTAAGCGTTCTTATGCCGTTTCCGATGCCTAAAGTTCGAATATCGGAATTTGAAGAATCACATAAAACAACGTCATTCTACATAATAGAAACAAATACAAGTATCTTAGTTAAAAAACTCCTTGTACTTCACTAATTCTTATATACAAAAACTACGAGAAAAGCTGCACACTAGATTATGTACAAGTTAAGCTGAAATATGACATCCTATTCAGAATAGACATGAAATCGTCACATCAAAGCGAGTGGAAAATTAATGATCGACTGGCTTTGGAACATAGCTGTTCAAATTTAACAAATACTCAATACTTATAAAGTGCATACAAAATTTTTCAAAAAATTAAAATATATGCAGCTGAGTGGCAGAACATCATGTCCTACAACGATTCTTAATAGTACTTCATTGATTGTTTTTTATATGTCGACACTAACTTTAAAAAGTAACTGAGTTTTAAATTCAACTACAGAATATCGACATATATATCTTAACTTGTATGATAATGTTATTTGAATTCTTCACTGAAGAGATGGATAAATATGTTTTAGCAGGTGAAATAAATTAAATTGCTGGTTTTTTTTCTAGGCTTATTTTTTCAGGTTAGATTAGATCAGAAATATTGGTTCTGATGCTGAAAAATACAGAATTAAGTCCTGATTTTATTGACATGTTCTACTTTAGATAGGCATTTACGATTATTTTGTAAAGTATAAAGTACTGAATGCCACAAAAGCATCACTTACTCAGTATTTAGCTAGAATAAAGTGTCCTTTTTAATTTTTTTCAATAATTTATTATCTCCTATTCAGATATAAAATGAACATATATAAATACATCGTTGTTATTTGATCGTAAAATCAATTTCTGGAACTATCTTATACTACATTGAAAACCGTCGTAAAATTATGCCTAATTATCTACTTTTCGCGCACTTTCATATCGATGAAAACATTTCAGTTTTCTCATTCAGTTAGAAAACAGATCAGTCCTTTCAAAGGAAAGAATTTGGCAGAGCTTGAAATTTCGCATCTGTTTACATAAAAAGGATAAGGTTTTGTATCTTGCAAAGGAGAAGTAAATTAGATGATCAAACAGAACAGATTACGATGTATACCAAAACATTTTCTATCATTAACTACAAGAAAAGAATTCTTGAACTTGATCCAGCAGGATAACAACGGTTTTTTACATATAACTGATTTTGTTATTGAGTGAGTTGTTTTTGTACTACGCACTACTTTTTAGTCTACAAAATGAAGGTATATTCTCATTTAAAGAAGAATATATCGATAAAATCTACACAAAATTCTTTATCTTCCACCATCAGAATCAAACTTTTCGGGCAAGTCTCAATCAAGAAATCAGACTTAACAAAAACCTGCAATTTAATATATCTCATCCGTTAGTAGACATGTTTCCGTTGATCTCAGAATGTTTTGTAAATTTCCTTGTATTTTTCTGTTTACTTTTAATAATGTAATTCATTAGGATTCTGGCGATAGTTTTGTGTGTCGCGTCTTATCCCTATAATAGATTGAAAGCTATTTATGTAACTCACTGTGTAACTTCGACTTCATCTTAGAATGAATATAAAAGAGCGACAGAAAGACTTTTTCTCACGGTTATTTTTTATCGAAGTATTTTAGTATTTCCCTTCTTCAGTTCTTTTCTTCATCCCATTCTCCTTCTTTTTTTCATCTTTGTCTCCCCTCCAATGTCTTGTCTCCACTATTTGCTTTTACTTATTTTCTCAAGACACTCTTCGCTTTTGGCCGACTAAATTCTTTTTTCTTACTGCGCAGAACGCTTGAATCACATCGTCTTTCTCGCTTATCATATTAATGCACACAGAGAAAGCTAGAATTTTTTTTTCATGATGCGTACACTCAAAACTTGCCTTCGTCACATGATGTTTTTTAACCAATCCTAGTTCATAGATACGTCGCTCTAACAGATTTACAACCATTTTTCTCAGAAAAAAATCTACCAACCGATTAATCAAATTATTTTTTCTTCACTGTTTTATTCCATTTTTAGTGTTTTACTTGTTGTTTATTTTGACATAAAAAATTAAATTGATCAACGGATATTTTTATGGTTCAAGCTAACTTTATTTCTTCATCATTTTTTGAAAATACAATAACAAAATACACACGCATAGGCAAAAATTAGACATGCGTAAATAACTGTTAAAAAAAACAAGAAGGAAAAAAGAAGAAAAGATACACATCGAAGTTAATTTAATTTGACATTAACAATACAGGTCAATAGAGTCGAAGCCGGGTAAATGTTAACGTTTAATCACAGATCTGCCAGATCCATCTATGATTTCACATTGAACACTGCCAATTTTGAATTAGAGACTGAGTTTATTACATTCTATGCAGAAGTGTTGATTCAGTTCAAAGAATTTACTAAATAAAAACTGGTGTAAAATAACATGAATGAAATTAAATCGTTTTTCCTACTAAAACAAACTTCGAAAAAGTAAAAAACGTCATACACTTTTTGATTATAATTATTTTTTTCATCATTATGAATAATAATTTACAAAAAAAGGGCATGTGGATGCCACTGTACGTGTGCGTACGGGGATTTATTTCGATAATACTCACGCTCATACCTAGGAGTGTCGGCTTAGCATTAGTGTTAAGAAAACGCTAACGCTTTTGCATTAAAATTAAAAAAATAACTTAATGCTTTGGTATTAGTATTAGAAAAGTATTAACTTAACGGTAATGCTTATAGTTCCGAAAAACAGAACAAAATTGTTCTGTTTTGGGAAAAAATTCTCATAAGCAACCAATTTTGTTCTGTTTTTGGGAACCCTAAGCACTACCATTAGATTAATACTTTTCTAATACTAATACCAAAGCATTAAATTATTTGTTTAACCCTAATACAAAAGCATTAAAAATAGTATTAATTAATGCAATGCTAATGCTAATCTGACACCCCTACCCATACCCAAAATTCGATTTCAAATACAAACGGCTGAAATAATATTCTGGAGGAGAGTAGCTATGAGACACTCTAGGATTAAGTCCGCAGCTCGAAAATAAGAGAATCTCTATGAATCAAGTCTCTACTCCTTCACATCGAACGATCATAACTGCGATAGCTGAAACACGTCGTGATAATGGCACACAAGACAGTCATGTATTCAATGTTTGAAGTTATGCCTTTAGGGAAAAAGTCAGTCGGACGTCCACAAGCCAGCGACACTAATACATCGAGGAAATCTACCAAAAGGGTTTAGAGCTTGGATGAAACTTGTTCATCTTAAGGCCAATGCAAATCGTCTCTAATGATGTCTTACGAGTATTTCATCAGATCTTTTTGAAAGAACCAAACGAATAACCACAAACGTATTCGACAATGTGATTCTGCTGATAGGAAAGTTACATCGTTTAGCTTTTTCACTGTTAATACAAATAAAATAGAATATCTAACTAACAGGATATATTTTTAATGCAACAAGTATGCAAAAAATACTAATTACTTCCAACAACCTCATATTTAATTGATTTGCATAAGTAATAAGAACGAATATTAGTGAGAAGTCAGAGCAATATATTATTTTTTAAAGCACTAAGACTTGATTCTTGTACTGCTCCATAATAGGCGTCCATCTCACTTGAAATTACGTCATCTGAATTCTATTGATATGGCTAATTACTTTAACAAATCAAAGCGTTCAAAACTATTTCAATTAGCTTGTTGAAAAAACTTGCCATATAGATCAAATGACTAGTAGAAATGAAAACACATTTTTGTGTGCTCAGCATAAACCCAGATAGTATAGATTGTCAATATTAAGATCAACAGCAGAAAGTTTATTTACAAGTGAAAAGCATGCATCAGTAACTTGACAACGAAAACCAAACGATATGATTCATTCTAGTCTTTGTCTAATTTCGATATATTCTATCGAATAAAGTAAGTTTCGCCCCAAAAAAAATTATTTCATTCTGGACAATTCTCTATTGCACTTACTAAACAATGAAGAATGTTATAAAATCAAATTTTGTTTTTTGATTAACATCAAAGTTTTAAGTTGTCATTAATTCACATTTCATTTTCACGGATTTTATGTAAAAATGATAATCAAAGTTAAGTGCATTTATATTTAAATTAAAATCTATGAAATTGAAAAGTTTCCACTAGTGATAATTCATTCATAATTTATTATAATCAAAATTATTAATTGGATTATTCTATAATAAAATCAAGATTAAAATCGAATTTTTGCAACTTTCAATAAGACGATTATCTTTCATTATCAGATTATCATCGATAAATATTTTTTACATAGCACTCGCAAGAAACTGAATATGTACAATCGTTCAACGCTTTGAGGACGCAGTTTTTTCTCTCAAAAAGCAGTTTTTCAATCAATTTATTGTATTCGACTCAAATGATTTCATAAAAAAAATCGTACGATTAATACATCGAGAGAAGAAACTGGAAGAGATCATGACTTCGATGTATGTTAATAGAAAGAAAAGAGAACATCTGCAAAGAACTTAGGCGACAGATAGAAAGGGATAAAATATATGCATGAGATAGCAGATGGGATGACTTAAAATTTACATGGTATTACAGTTTAATTGAGCGCAAACATTTTCTTTACTGGAACATAAGTGGTAAAACTTATGCACCAATGTCTTCAAAGGGTTAAATAGTATTATTATCCATTATAAGTGGAATAATTGCTATCATCTTTGGTTGAGAAAACCCTCACAATTCAATAAAACACATTGATGCCATGGTGGATTCTTTTATATAGTTAAAAATAAAAACAGTTTTTCAAGGAAAATCGTATTCTATAGAAAAATATTTTTAATCTACTAAAAATACTATGAAGAAATGTACTTTTCACTTCAGAATTCATGAATTCAACAAAATCAATAATAATGAAAAATGATTTTAATGAATCTTCTTTTTAGAAAAATTTATCTCATATTTTTAGATAAATACTATAATACACAAATTATTTGAATATTTCAAAATCAACTTTTATACCTGTTCTATTTACTATAATAGAGACGAATGAAGACAGTAAGTTATACAATTTGTATAAAAATTTTTGATAAATTATTATCTCATTTGTTTTTTTTTATACGTATCTTAAACGAAAAAGATAATAGAAGTTTATTTTTCTGAAAATCAATAAAAAAAAGACAAAATTTTAATGCAATGTGTTCAGTTACATATGATACGATTTCTAGGAGGATATTCAGGAACAATAACTATTCTTCGGTGTTGATAACATAAGTTTTTCCAATTTCTCTTTGAGTTTAGGCAGTGTTCTTAAGCATACAAATGGAAGAAGAAATACGATGTAATAAGAGAAAAAATAAGCATATGACATAAACACTAATCCTATAGCTCTTGATACTCGAAATTGATAAAAAATATTCAAAAATACTCCTGGAGCACTAAAAGTTACGAAAAGTATCGAAACAGATAATAATTGTTTTGTCATTTTTCGTTCTTTTCTCCATTGTATTGATCAATGTAAACAAGATTTTTGCTATAAAGCACGTATTAATAGAGATAAATATTGGAACTATTTGATGACATACAAACTCCCATATTGAAATCATATTTACATAATAATATATACAAGAAAATGGGACACCATAAACAGGTAATCGATAAAATATATATGGACAAAATGGAGCAAATATTATAATACAATAATAAATGAAACTGTACAGAATAAGTATTATTAATGAAAGATAATGAATAAGGAAACGCCTTTTTCTATTTAATAACCATCGATCATAAAATATAAGAATATGTCTCTCAATTGTTACCCACGAAAGTATTAAAAATTGTGTTCCATATAATGCATAATCAATAAATGACCAAAATACAGAAAAAACTTATTGGAAATTCCCAACTGAAACCATAACGAAAAAAATGAAGAATAAATGGAACATCTATTAATTCATATGATAAACAAATAAAAGGAAGAATTATAATAACATAATTATTCAATGCACGACGAAGAATTCGATCAAATAATAAATGATAAAGAACAAATAAGCAACAAAATATTGATAGAATGTTTGAGACAAGAAAAAGTCCAAAACGAAAACCATAGGAAAATACAATATCGGGATAGAAACCGGTACTTTCTTCAGTAGATGTTTTGCTTGAATTTAACATTCTTTAATAAAATGAATTCTGAAAACACATCAAAGAAAAATATAAGATCTATGTACTTACACCAACTCAGATGGACTCAATTTTTCCTATTGTCTATGATAATCTTCTTATGCCTGGAAATGTTTTTTTTTAATATCAAGGTGTATTAATACAAGATTAATTAAAAACCAATGACGTCAAGATTTTTATTGACAAGAGAGATTTTTGTACTATAAGTTAAGAAGATTAAACATATCCGTTCGAGGAAGCACTATCAATGTCAAACAAATGAAAACTGATGCGGAAAATCGAGTAAAATCATACACCTTTGATCGATGATAATAAAAATATAATTAAAAGTATCCAAATTTTATTGATTATTATTGGTAACTCTTAATTAAAACCGATTTATTAATCATAAACAAATCGTCTATAATTAATGTAAAACAAAACAAAAAAGAGAATTAATTTTCTATCGTTTATAAACTCACACGAAATCAATTAAAAATTACTTTTTGCTCAATTTTAAATCGGTTTGAACATTAAAAAAAATCATAGATTTTAATCCAATTTTTTTACATGGGTTTTCTTCGGTCGTCGACTAACAATTTATAGATAATCGGTATTCGAAATCTAATTTAAACTTTATTCAGCAGTAGTGTCATTCAAATTTTGACTTCTTATCAAGTTTTCCAAGCTGCGTGAGTGATACGATAAACACCAGTTTCATTTAGTCTCGCACTGTCTTTATGCGAGATTTTTCGTCGTCAAAATTTTCATTACATACATCTGAAAACATTCTCGTCCGAAAGAAGTTTCTTGTGATATTTCTGAGTTCTGGTGCTTGAGTTAAAGAAGATTGTTCTATGTGAGGTAATAAAAGTGAATGTTGAGATTATATGAGTAATTCAGTGAAAGCGATGCTCATGTCACATTCATATCCACCGGATTTAATAATTGTATCGAAGTACCCTTTATGGATTTTTACTGCACATGGATCTCAATTAAATGTAGTATCCATCGAGTAGGATTAAGATTATCAGAGAAACGTCGATCGTATCAATAATAAATCATAATTTTCTGATGATAACAAACTTGAATCGATTCAAAATTTCCATTGGAATAAGCTCGATTCATTTAAACCAATGAATAATCGATATAACTATGTTTTCAGAATGTTTGTTTTAATCTTACAAGAGATACAAATGAATAAACAGCAAATCATATTTTGTGAAGGACTAATTCAACCATCTCCATTGACAAATGAAAGATCTATTATGTCTCGCATGGGATGTTACCATTGTCTTTGATACTAAAGTAATTACCTATTCATGTTTTGACAATCAAGTTACTCTACTTAAAAGAATGACAATTGATTTAATATCATTGTATGTGTATTGAAGTCGATTATTTAGTCTGAGATATCAAAAATATATACGCTGTTTTGCAAAGGAAAATTTATCAAATTATTAAGCCATAAATATAACATCTGTATATAATACATCTGCTATGTTAATTTTGCCGCTTGTAAAGAAAAAGTGAGTTTCAGTATATTCTTATGTAACACTTCAAGATAAACATATACAAAACTTTAAATTCAATCACACTAGCAAATAGACAAGTTGTGATAAACTTTATTGGCTTAAAAATTACTTTTTAATTGATTCAAACTTTTGGCAAAGGACTAAATTCATCAATATGTTATGAATACGGCATAAATCAATTGAGATTACCTTCAGAAATATTTATAATGACTAATTATTGTTATGTTCTTTATAGCATAGTAAAATCCATTGGTTAAATATTAATAGACAGCACCGAATAACTGTATTTCTTATTTTGTGAAAGCTTCTACCCAGGAAACCTATCGAAATCTATATATAATTATTTGAAGAGTATATTTTACTTATCGTTTTCTATAAACAAAGAAATACAACTGCACTTTTACAATAGAAATATTTCCAATACAAATTGAAGCAGAACTTTTGGGTCATTATTTGTCATCAGCTAAAAACAATATTTTCACTAGGATTTCAAAAAAATTTCAATAGCAAAAAAATAAAATTGTGCACGTTTGTTTTATTTGTCTACATATCTACATAGAAAATTTCCTGTAGGAAGAAGCTCAAATAAAATGAATGTAGTTTTAAAGCCAAATTTCAATTGATTTGGTAGAACATCGCAGTCGATATGGACGATTAAGTAGATATTGATGTAATTGTTGTTGAATTATATCTGGAATACAAGGTGTTTCATAGCAATCAAAATCGATAAATCTGATATAAAGCGAAACAAGTTGTTGTAAATGATCAACAAGAAAATGAATAAGATTAAGAATACATTTTGTAGATTCATGTTCAGCATCAACAGTACGCGACGATTTCCAATACCATCCATCATATGAACCATAGATATTAAAGAAAACTACTTTCAAATTAGATAACTGATTCGACAATAATTTGCAAAACTGTTCAGCATTTTTGAATGTTAATGATATATCGTCCATCACAAGTGTTTTTATCTAATTGAGAGAAAATATAATTTATTACAAGATAAATCGAAAGAAATATACATTTTTGTTATATAAGTTCAAACATTTATAATAATCTCTCTCTTCTAACATTAAATTTAAACAATTTAGAAAACAGATTTTCTTTAAAAAGAATGGTGAATATCAGTTAAAACAGCATTTCCCAACAAACTAATTTCAATGAAATTTTTCTTGTAAAATAGAAGCTCTTACTTGCTGATTGACGCGAGTTCCGAGATTGTCAAGATTATGTAATATGGCATGGGAAAAAATTCCATTGTCCTCCCATATATCTAATGTATGAACATTATAAGCCATCCGTAATATTGATTCTAGTTCAGTTGTAGTAACAATATCACCTTCATCAATTGAAATTTTTGTTAATAATGGCCATGGAACTAATGATGATATAGAACTTCGAAAATTACCGAGCTCTGAAATACAAGTCTCCTTTCTATAACCAGTCAAGAATAACTCATTAGCGCGTGGAAACATATCTATTGCATTAATTGGCATTTGACAAGATCTAAATAGAAAGAAAATATTCCTATAGATCATTCATACAAATAAATTATTTTCTTCATACTTTTCCAGACCTCTACAGAACAGATATATTGGAAGTATTGTATCATTACATGGTGAAGTGAATACAGTAAAACAATGATAATGATGTCCACTATAGTAATTACCACGTTCTTGAATAAAAACTCTCGGTCGTTGTCGATTAGTAAATGGAACATTACAAAATGAGTTCAAAATTATTTTTTCTTCCAAGTCATTGCTAACATCTAATTCTAGATTAAGATTATAGGTTGCTAATGGTTTGAGACGATCAATACATGATTGTTGAATAACGTCACCTGATATAACTAATGGACTAGAGATTTCCATAATTGCTACTAATTTTACTGATAGATGATTAAGTTGACCAAATACAAATGATAAAAGCGCAATAGTTCGATGAAAACTAATGCTATTTGTGCAGTCTATATGTAAACGAGATAAATACACAAGATGAGTATTGACAGTGGCAGGTATTCTAAAAAGATTCATATGATTGATACTTTTATAGATGATAGAATGTTACTTACGCGTTTACGTTAAAACTATTGTTGCCGTTCATAAGTAGATCTTTTACACCAACAGAAAGATTTTCAATAAAGGGTATACACGATATTAAACGTTCGAGAAAACGTGATGTATGCATACCAATAGTCAATCTACGAAGACGAGTTGTATTTAATAAATTTGGTAAATTCATCATTGGTACAGCAGAGTATTTGTCTAGTTTATATGAATTTTTATAACAAGCATTAGATGGAAGTCGACAATTTATTAGACGAGGCAGCTGTGAACATACCTTTTATAAAAATATACAAAAATTATAATTTTAGGCACCGTAATATTATAAGATTGTTTATCACAGGTAATCTAAAATTTCCTAATGAGTTGAAGGGATAGTTATCTTCTTGCCTTAGCTAAATAAACTCCTTCAATTTCAAGATAATTAAATGGATTAGATGGTGTAACATCAACTAATAAAGTATGTACTTGTTTTATTAAAGGATTACACAATAAGTTATCAAACTCATGTGGTTCAATATCGATCAGATGAAGACGTTGAAGTAATGTTGTTTGATGATATTTTAGAGATGATGAAACGATTGACCATCCGTCAATAGCGTTGTTTAATATTACACGTAATGAGACAAGTCGATTTCCTATTAATTTCAAAACATTTTGACAAAGATTGTTGAACATCGATAATGACATTGTTGAATCACCAATATGAATGTGCCACAAATATTCCTGTATAATGATTCTTGAAAATTGTTTATTCAATGATAAAAATGATTGAAGAATGTCAAGAGGAGACAAATAACCAAACATTTCGAAAAGAATATCCGCAGGTAACAATTCAAACGTACTAACGATCATTTTATTCATGTCTCTTATTCATTCCTAGGAAATCATATATATATGTTGTAGGCAAAATTGAAATTCGGGCAAATTCGGAATTTGCCTAGGCAAAATTGGAATTCTAATTCTGCCCGGGCAAAATTAGAACCTGACTAGAGATAAATTCTTAAAAAGAAAATAATCAAAATCTTAGTGTTATAACTGTATTTTATTCAACAAAATCTTTTTTTCTGAACATTTTACAATTAGAAGTCCAAATACTTTACTCTATTCACCCATATTTTTACAACAACCTCGTTTTGAATGACATTTTATTGAACAATTTTGACTATTTTCTTTTTAAGAATTTATCTCTAGTCAGATTCTAATTTTGCCCGGGCAGAATTAGAATTCCAATTTTGCCTACAACATATATATGTATATGTCGATGTGGATGTGGATAAATCATATACATCCGTCTGTTTTGTTTGACGAGCATTGTTTTTATAATTGCTCACTTTTATTCTTTATGAATTGACCTCACGAAAAGAAAAAAGAAAGCATGAACATCGCTAGCTATTGAACGTATGTTTGAACGATTAGAAAATTTTATTCGTTTGTTTTATTCATACAAAGTATATAAAAAGATTTTTCCAACGAATAGGGTATTAACTTCAAATGGCATATAGATGAACTTTTATAACAAAATAAAATTCGCCGAAAATGGAAATTATTCATATGAATTAATATCGACTAGGCCCTTAAATAATAGGTGCTATAGCCAGAGGAAGAACTTTTTTCCATATGAAATTTTCGAACTTGAAAAGGCTCGATAATCTTGTACGGAAGTGAAAAGAGATTCTTTTCCATGGATAGAGAGTTGGTAAAATACATATTGTTTTAGAGTGTATGACAATTTTCTTCTATCAAACTTCGAAAACGTCCAGCATTTCACCAAATTAAAATTTTATGACACAGTCAAAATGGATAAAATGCGGAGAGAGGATGTTTTTCGAGATGTGAGAAATCATAACGGTAGGTATCCTAATACGAAGGTAATACCAGTTAATATTAATTTAATGCAATGCTAAGCTGACACACCTACCTATTAATCAAAGTTTACCAATTTCCAGAGTTCGGTAGAACAAAGTTATCACAATTCATACTAATTGATAAGAATAAGTTTCATTTTCGACGAACTTTATTTCGTCATATAAGTTCTTCTATGTGATATTTAAAACAAGATCATATATCTCTGTAGCAAAGTATTATTTTTGTTTGTAGCTCTTTGAGTTCAGAATCAAGCTTGCAGCTCGAGAACTCTTCCAAAGCATATTTTGGTTGTGTTATAAACTTAGTACGCTTTGAGAAAACTGTTTTGCTGAATTGAATGTCATCACTCAATTCATCATATATAAGCTGACGAAATATACCACGCGTACCATTGGAGAGTCCAAGTTGATTCGCAGTATTTTCTGTTAGGAAAACGGGCATCCCTGGAACGAGAGGTAAGTAACCTGGAAGATGTTCCGTTTTATTGTCAGATAGTTCGAGAATCGCTTTGCGTAATTGTGAATCTTCAATCCTTGTTCCTTTAACGTAATCTTGAGTAAGGCAAACGATTGGCCTAACTTACATCTCCATTAGAGATGTGCACGGAACCGAAAAACAATCTCTGGTCCAGATCAAACATTGACCTGCTATTTCATCAGCTGCATTTTTAAATTATTCTGTAACAATGCATTGTGTGGAGAAATTTTTTGCTCTTTCTTCCTGTATGTTTTAAAATATTTTACAGATTCTCATTATGAAATAATTTAGCAAGTATAATGACCGGGACCAAACTAGTCCCGGTCCCGGTCGACTCTGACACCATTTTCTCTGGCTATGATACTCACATAGTGTTCACGTTAGCCTTATATTGTAGAGAAAAGATTTCTCTACAAAACGTAGTTTTCGAAACTTTATTATGCTTTCAGGCTATAGAGAGATTTTCAATTCTAACACCGGGACCAGAATTAGTTATGCACATGTCTAATCTCCATTGCTTTATTCAGCACGGCTCTATTGTTAATTTGAGTACGAAGTGCGTTCCGAAAAACGAGTATTGGGGCCTATAAAAGAAAATTTGATGACATGTAGAAAAGACTAGATAGACACACTTCTTTCCACAACTTCTGTTGTAAAGATGCTTGAAGATTTGGAGTTCTGATGACCCGTGTACAAAGAAGTTTATAATCTTCAATAGTCGACTGTCATTTTCTCAATCTGTTTAAGAGTTGCAAATATCACACGTCTTCGGTTCGCATTTCTTGGTTTAATTCAACAATGCAATTAATTTGTGATATCACTTTTTGTGCGCATTGCATTTCCATTTGACGTTCTGTATATTTCTGTAACGATGCTGAGCTGTGATAGAGAGGCTTATCCAACGCTGGAGAATATTGCAGGTAGTCTCCAAAAAAAAATGACACTTGCACCACCAAAATGAGCATCCGAATTTATGTACCTTGCCGTTTTCACTATTCGATTAACTCGACCTAATAGGCTAAGTCCTAACATACTCATCTCATCGATTATCAAGTATTTTACATGGCGCCAAGTCTGAATGTTCGTGTTTGCTTTCTTTTGTAATTTTTGCGACTCTCACCTAAAAATGAATGAATAGTCGACCCATCAATCTCTGCCGCTGCTATAGATGTTGGTGCCAGTTTACGCAACATTTTGAGTCTCGTCATGACTTGGAAATACTTGGTGATTGCACGAATCAATTGAGATTTTCCAGTACCACCACAGCCAGGTACGCACATCAGTAACTGATTATTGCTAGTGTCTAAATAATTATGGCCAATGACACTTAATTAATAGAAAATCGAATAATATATACCTTTATGAAGTTGATTCTCACCATCTAGATGACTAGTAACAATCATGAAAGCATATTTTTGCTGGCTGTTTAGTGTGATTTGTTTGATGGTGTCAGGTTTCGTTGGAAATGATACTGCTATAGTTGCAGTCACAGGTGGTACCATGGTAGTTTATGCTTTATATGGACTTTTTGGTATTTTAGCAGTTGCAACTTCAATCTGCATCTCATCATCTCGTACATCTAAGGTGTCTTCACCTGAAATTAAAGAAATTCTAGCTTTATCTCTTCTGGTTTCAATATTGCGTTTCCACTCTTTAATCATTGCTGCATGATGTGAATGAGTTACCACGAATGTGTTGAAATCGTCTACGATATGATAGCTATTTTGGTTCAATATGCTTCTGTAGTCTAAATAAAACAAAATATTATCGAAATGCAACACTAATGAACTCACTATTGAGTAGTGCAAATCTCTCTGTGTTATCAATTGCCTGTAATGCATCATTGAGATAACGCTGCTCTTGGTTGCCGGTGGACGCGTAATATGCATTGATGGCAGTCTCATTTACGAAGGACAGCATTTGCAAAAGTTGTTCAGGATCGTCTTCTTCAGTATTTTGATCTTCATCAGAGCAGTTATGGATCAGAATAGGATCGATTTTGCTATCATTTTGTGCTTCTCCAAGAACGGGATGGAGATGCTCATCNAATAATTTTAAAGTCAGTAAACTTCTTAATTGGTTACTTATTAATTAATTAGGTTTGCTAATAAGTTTAAAAATCAGTAAATAAAATTGATTAAGAATAAATACTATTGCAGGATAGGTAAAGGAATCGAAATGGTCGAGCATCAATAAAAAAATCAGTTAACTTCGAAAAAATAATTTTTTTTAATGAATGATTCAAGCCAAATGATGATCGAGATGAACGCCTACCGCTTTGCGCACAGATTGCAAACAAGGGCTTGAGGGAAACTAACAGGACAATCAAAGTTTTAATTATACTTGTCGATGAGATTACAGTTGATATTAATCCTTTGGTTACCGGGTTTCTGGAAATGCGGAAAAAAATTTGAGTTTGCTCGTCAAAGTCTAGAATAGGGTGCATGCGTCCAAGCGAATCAATGGACTGCATCAGGCTTCAACCAACGCAATGAAATTCTTAAATAGCAGAGTCCAGTAAAATGACCTAAAGCCTTATGAAATCCTGCACGTAACCCCATGAATAATCCTATGACTTCATATTATAAAATAGATTTTTTATAAAACTGAATGTCTGGTTTTTCGTAAGATTAGAGCTTCAGCAACACTCGCAACTTCTCAGGACAACAATAGTTTCTGACATTCTGCGTAATTTCACGAACTTCTGTTTCTTTGCACACGACTTTGAATGATTTTGAGTTTAGAGAGTGCATGCATAGTGATATCATATGATGACACACAGTGACACTAAAAACATGAGAGAAAGAGAGAACACTCTATGGCCTAAGAAAGATAGAAGATTGTAAAAGCTATACTCTGCATAAGCGCTCGACCCGCGTATATGTTGGTCTCGTAACCAAAGGGTTAATTTAAATAAAAAGAAAAACTATAATTTATATTATGTAATATGATAATTACTGATGAATTTTCTGTTGGAACTGATTTAGACAGAAAAGAAGGTAATTTATTCTATAAACTACTAATTACTAATGATCTGTCATTGCGATTAATCTCAATGAAAATTTCATAAATTCATTTCATGAAATATGACTTTCAACTGAAACTGCTGTTAGGATTGATCTAAATAAGAAAGAAAATAATTTAGTTCTTAAAATAGTACTTATTGTTGTAATTATTTTTGATATTAGTCTATATAAAGTCTATGAATATATTTTGTAAAATAATATTTATCATGTCATTGTTTTTGAAACTGATCTATAGGTAAATAATATACTTACCGTAGAAGTTATTCTGGAGAAGAATAGCTTCTTGAATAAATTAAAATAGATTATACAAGACCTATA